ACTTCCCCTGCATGCGTGGCAGCGGTCCCCTTTCATCTCGCGGCACGCATTCGGCATTCAGTCAGGAACAGTCAGTTACGAGCGAGCCGTCGACAGGTCTGGAACGCCGCTGCGCTGCGCTGCGCCGCGCCGCGCATCGAGATTCGACGAGCGAGAGCGAGAGAAACAGAGAGAGAGAGAAAGAGAGAGAGAGAGAGAAAGAGAGAGAGAGAGAGACGGAGGGGGAGCGAGAGAGAGAGAGAGAGCCGTCTGCACAATAGCCCGCGTCGGGGGCCTCTAATCGTTCCGGCCACGTGCTCCCTTTCGATGGTCGATCTTCGCGCGCGGCTGATGACGTTCCGACAGGTATCGATCGCGCTTCTGTACACCGGCTGCTTTGAGAGTCGCGCCGTTTTTGCCGACGAGCGGGATGACTAACGTTCGCCGCCGCCGCCGCCGCCGCCGCCGCCGCCGCCGTCGTCGGAGCGGATAATTAATCGTAATTTGTCACGACGGACGCTCGCGCGATGGCGCATTATCGTGCGCTTCGTATTCGCGAGTAAGTCGCGCGCGGTGTTGTTGGAGCGTGCGACGGAGAGGGAGGAGAAGAAAGAAAGACAGAGAGAGAGAGAGAGAGAGAGAGAGAGAGAGAGAGAGAGAGAGAGAGAGAGAGAGAGAGAGGAACGGAGAAGAAGCTCGCACGAGGAGAGGACCGCCGCCGCCGCCGCCGCCGCCGCCGTCGCCGCTGCGCGCGCTGTGTGAACTCGCGCGGCGCACAGAGAGTCGACGAGTAATTTATCGTAAAGTGTGTTTTCGTCCTCGTTGTCGATACATGGACTGTAATAGTCCGTCGTTTCGTCCATCGCGTGTGTATTTGCACGGGCGGCACCGGCCAGAGGGAGGGAGGGAGGGAGGGAGGGAGGGAGGGAGGGAGGCAGGCGGTTACTACGTTCATGTGCGTGTGTATCGCGTGTGCACGCGGCCGCTCGCTCGTTCGCTCGCAGCGACAGACGTTTCTCAAGCGTGAATTATCCATCGGCCGTTATACCACCGCGCCGCAACACGCTAACGTCCGCGAGCTCTATCTATCACGCGAGCCTTTTTTCCCCCGCTTAGCCGGGCGCCGATGATTCCGGGTATTCGTCGTTTCCATCATACCGCCGCGGCGGCACGGCGAAAGCTGTTTGCATAGTAATTCCCATGGCACGGACGCTTATGAAATATTAACGTCACGGCGTCACCTGCGTTATGCCGGCGCGAGCGCGGATCGGTTACAAGAAAATTATCACACGGTTATCATGATTAACGAGCCCCGAGCGGGTCCCGCCGCGTCGGCCCGCTGCGGGTTTCTTCGCGCCGCCGCGCCGCGCCGCGCCGCGCCGCGCTGGTACCTTCCGCCAAACTCGGACCGCACGGCGGGCTGCGTGCGACGTGTGTGTCTGATTAGAGCCTCGGCTGGCACGTGCGCGCCGGTTGACACTCGACGATTACAGCGCAGCGCTGTCGTTTGTAATTTCAGGGAGCCAATGAGTCCGCGCTGTCCTTCGAGAGATTCTCGGGAATCGTCCGGTCCGGCGACCGGAAGCCCCCCACCGCCCGCAACGAGGAGCAGCGCGAGTCCAGTCAGTCCGAGTAGTACCGTGCCTCTACCCCTTGGAACTCACACCCTACTACCATCCCACCCCGCAGCGGTCATGGCGGCGTACCTGCAGCAGACCCATCAGCGCTTCCTCCTCGGCCACTCGCCCTTGTCGCGCGGCTCGGTGTCGCCTCTGATCTCCTCCTCGTGTTCGCCGCCGGCCGCGACACCCGGCCTCTTGGTGTCGCCCAGCAGCGTCGGCGAGATCTCGCCGTCGGCGACGCCTTTGCCGGCGGTGCTGGACTTTAGCACGAGAAAAGCGTCTTCCATCGAGGAGGACGAGGAGGAGCAGCAGATCTTGAACCTGAGCAAACCGCCCACGCCGTCCTCGTCCACGGAGACGAACAACGGCCCGTTGGATCTGTCGCTGGCCAACAGGAAGCGACCTGGGCCGGAGGACTCGCCGCCGCCGCCGCCGCGCAAGTCGTCGAGACTGGCGTCCACGAGCGCCGCGAGCGTCGCGAGCCACCAGGAGACGGTGTCGGGGGTCACGTCGTCCAACTACGGCAGACCCGTCGTGTCGCCGTGGACGTCGCCGGTAGTAGCCTCGCATTTCCCGTACTTCGCCGCGGCGGTAGCGGCAGCGGCTACTAGTCAGCAGCAACTTTCGCCCAAGAGCACCGGCGGCGTGGTCGATCATCATCAGCTGTGGAACGGCAAGATGAAGCCGCCGGCGGCACTGGACAAGCCGTATCCACCGAGCGAGGCGACCAAGGCGCTCGAGGAGTTGAACAAGATCAGCAAACTCGGCGGCGAGGATCTCTTCAGGTCGTCGTCGTCGTCGTTGTCCGCTGGAGGTGGAGGAGGAGGAGGAGGAGGAGGAGGCGGCGGCGGTGGTGGCGGTGGGAGCTCCGTGACGAGCGGCGGCGGCGGCGGCAATACCGGAGCCAGCACGACGTCCAGCAGCCGTCACAGCGCTTGGCAGTCCCACTGGCTGAACAAGGGGGCTGACCAGGCGAAGGATGTTCTCAAGTGCGTATGGTGCAAGCAGAGCTTCCCGTCTCTGGCCGCCATGACGGCGCACATGAAGGAAGCGAAGCACTGCGGCGTCAACATGCCGGTACCTCCACCCGCTCCGGGTCTTCACCCGCAGCAGACGAGCATGCCGAGCATACCGCCGCCTCAGCAGCCGCATCAGCCGCCGACCTCGGGCAACAACGGTGGCGGCGGCGGCGGCGGCGGCGGTGGTGGCTCGGGCGCGCCTGGCAGCAAGCAGAATCCATCCGACCTGAACCTCCTGATCAAGGAGACGATGCCGTTGCCGCGCAAGCTCGTGCGAGGTCAAGACGTCTGGTTGGGCAAGGGCGCCGAGCAGACGCGGCAGATACTCAAGTGCATGTGGTGCGGCCAGAGCTTCCGCTCGCTCGCCGAGATGACCTCGCACATGCAGCAGACGCAGCACTACACCAACATCATCTCGCAGGAGCAGATCATATCGTGGAAGTCGTCGGACGAGAGCAAAGGCGGCGGCAGCACCGGCGGCTCCGCGGCCGCCGCCGCCGGCGGCGTCACCGGCGGCGGCAGCAACGCCGGGGTGCAACCTGGAGGCGGTGGTTCCGGTCCCCACGGCGGAAACGGTCCTGGCGGGCCCGGCGGAGGCGGCGGCGGCGGCGGCGGCGGCGGCGGCGCCACCAGCAGCCACGTGAGCGCCGTGCTGACGTGCAAGGTGTGCGACCAGGCGTTCAGCTCGCTCAAGGAACTCAGCAACCACATGGTGAAGAACTCGCACTACAAGGAGCACATCATGCGCTCGATCACCGAGAGCGGCGGCCGCCGGCGACAGACGCGCGAGAAGCGGAAAAAGTCACTGCCCGTGAGGAAGCTGCTGGAGCTGGAGCGCGCCCAGAACGAGTTCAAGAACGGCGACGCGGCGACCGGGCTGAGCCACAGCCTCGGCAAGCACGCCGGCAGGATCACCTGCGAGAAATGCGGCGAGAAGATCGAGACGCCGCTCTTCGTCGAGCACATCCGCCAGTGCATCGGCGCCGGCACGGTCGGCGTGAATCAGCGGAACTTCCTGAAGAACGCGCTCATGTCCAATCACTTGCCGGCGACGTTACCGCCGAGCGAGAGCGGCCGCAAGAGCGTCAACGAGGACACCTCCTCGATATCCTCCAGGCACCACCGCTCGCCGTCTTCGGCGAGCGACGCGACCACGCCGGGCAAGGACACCCCGAGCACGCCCAACACCAACGAGACCACCGCGCCGCCGATCGGCACCTCGCCTTCCGTTCTCAACGCCATCGAGAAGCTCATTGAGAAGAGCTTCGACTCTCGCGTGAGACACGGCACGCCCGGCCTGCACCACGCTCAACCCGGCGCGCCCATGGGCACCAGCATCCTCAAGCGGCTGGGTATCGACGAGAGCGTGGACTATACGAAACCGTTGGTGGATCCTCAAACGATGAACCTGCTGCGATCCTACCAGCAGCAACAGCAGCAGCATCAACAGCAGCAGCACTACAACGCGAACGCCGCGGCGAGGCGGGAACGCAGCGGCAGCGAGTCCAGTTCGATATCGGAGCGGGGAAGCGGCAGGACGGACACCATGACGCCGGAGAGGCGCATGGACCTGTCCGCCGTGAGCCACGACAGACACTCGAGTTCCCTGTCGTCGCATCATCACCGCGTCACACCCGACAAGCAGGCCGCCCCATTACCTAGTCGCCATCATCGGGCCGCGGAGGAATCCGGGGACGAAGAGTCGTCCACCGTGGTGGTGAAGAAGGAACCACGGGACGAGGAGACCGAGGAGAGAGGCGCGAATGAGGACGAGCAACAGCAGCAGCAGCAGCAGCAGCAGCAGTCACAGTCGAGAGAGGTGTTCGTGAAGAAGGAGATAGTGGACGACTGCAGGGACGAGGAGGATCAGAGTTCCTACAATCACCGACGGAGCAGCAGCCTCCACGAGACAGCCGAGGACGGCCGGGAGGTTCTCTCACCGCGTATGAATCCACCGACACCGCGATCGACCAGCCAAGTGGAGCAGGTGGCGCGTAGTCCTTGCAGGAACAGCACCAGCAGTCCTACGAGCAGCGACCGCTCGGTCACGCCGCGGGGTACGCCCGACACCAAAGCGTCCAGCAGCCTCGGAGCGCTCTCGTCCATGTTCGACAGCCTGTCGGGCGTTGGTGGTGGCGGCGGCAGTGGCGGCAGCGGGAGCAACGTGGACTCGCAAGGACGCAAGACCAGCAGCCATCCTCTCGCGGCGTTGCAGAAACTGTGCGACAAGACGGAGACGCGCGGCCCCAGCGCGAGTGGTTCCGCGAGATCCTCCGGTGGTTCCGCGACCACCATCGGCCCGAGCAGCGGTGGCACAGTGGGTGTGAGCGGTCCTGGGCCCGGGCCTACGCCCGGCGCCATCTTGGCCTTCAGCTGGGCCTGCAACGACGCCGTCGTCACGGCCGACTCCATCATGAAGTGCGCCTTCTGCGACACGCCCTTCATCTCGAAGGGCGCGTACAGGCATCACTTGTCCAAGATGCACTTCGTCAAGGACGGCGTGATCCCGGACCCCTTGACCATCGGCAGATCGGCGCAGCGGCAGCGGCCGCGGCGGCCGCCGCCGCCGCGGTCTCCCAGGGCCCGTCCGGCGGCCCGAGCCGCAACTCCTCGTCGCCGCCGACGTCGCAGCGCAACAAATCGCCGCCGTTGCCGCAGGCGAACGGCAGCCCGTCGCAGTCAGCGGCCTCTTCCCTCGAGGAGAGCCCGCACTCCAAATTTCTCAAGTATACGGAGCTGGCGAAGCAATTGTCCAGCAAGTACGTATAGTCCGAGCCCCGTAAGTAGCGGTGCCACTTGTACATAAGTGTATCTATACTGTAACGACTGTAACTAGCGATGTGGTTGGAAATTTTCACCCCTTCCCCGCGAACACCGCCGCGCCGGACGACGTCGTCGCGCATCCGACGTCTTCTCGGGTTTATGCTTAAAGAGGCTGTGTCGTGGCTGTACCGGTGCCGGGACGGAGATCCTACGGATGGAGAGAGAGAGAGAGAGAGAGAGAGAGAGAGAGAGAGAGGAGAGAGAGAGAGACGTGTGTGTGAGAAGGGAAAAGAAAAAAGAACGAACACATGCGCGCGCGCACTTTGGCGCCGAGTCGCGAACGAGAGCGGGGGGAGAGTTCGTCCAAGTCTGCAAATGTATAACCGACAGTTTTCTCCGATTATCCTTTTCAACACTGTCACTCGGGAGGAGAGAGAGGAGAAGAGAAGATGCGACGCACGATGAGAGCAGAGCAGAGAGAGAGAGAGAAGACGAGAGAGAGAGAGAGAGAGAGAAGACGAGAGAGAGAGAGAGAGAGAGAGAGAGAAAGAGAGAGAGAGAGAGAGAGAGAGAGAGAGAGAGAGAGAGAGAGAGAGAGAGAGAGAGAGAGAGAGAGAGAAGGAAGAGAGAGAGAGAGGAGTGAGAGAGAGAGAGTGGAAAGTGAGCGAAAGGAGAATGAATGGAAGAGAGAAAGGAGAGGAGAGAGAGAGAGAGAGAGAGAAAGGAGGAGAGAGAGAGAGAGAGAGAAGAGAGGAGGAAGAGAGAGAGAGAGAGAGACCGCGCATTTTTACTCGCGCATCACCGCTGCATGTGACAAGCGAGATCGCGATCATTCTGTCTTGACGTTCGTAGTCTTTGTCGTGAATTTTCTTACGCAGTCGTGTGATAGCGAGTACGCGCCGCGACAGACGTCTCTTGGAACCTACGCGGTTTGGGGCGCGCGAAACGCGACGCGAGTCTTCGCTCTCCACGTGGAGAAAGACGTCTCGAAGAAGGCGCGCGCGGAGTTTCGGGGGAAGAGATGACTCAGCGGGAGCGACGGTTTCGCCAATTAGCGAAGCCATTACAGCCGATAAATGAGTCCCGCGACCATAGACTTTGAGACATAGACTGAGCGCTCCGCAAAAGAGGCTGCGAAGACTACACCCGAAAAGGATGGCCTGTGCCACGATGGCGTTCGATCTTTGTCTAGCTTCGCTTCTCGCTCGCTGCAGAAGGCTAGACGAAGACAGCGCGCGCCTGTGTGGACGCGGCAGATGCAGCTGTCCTTTGTATCTTGTCTTCGAATCTCTCTCTCACAAGAAGGCGCAGTCCATGTACATAAGTCTGTGCCCTCGAACACGGGCCGAAGCACGCGCACTTTACACGTTATGAAACCCTCCTTTCTATTGTCGTGCTTTTGTCTCTTTGGTTTTTGAACTCCTTCCTCACTGACTCCGCGCGTCCCTGCGCGCCGACGTCGTCGTGCGCTCGGCCACACCGCGGAGAGATCAATCCGTCGCGCTTCGCGCAGTCTCGATCCTCTGCTTCACAGCTCGCACTCGATGAAGAAATACGGTCCGCAAGTAGCTCTATATGTCGCTACATCCATACGTTGGCAGCCGTGACTCACCGCTACGCTCAAGCAAATCCCACCGCACTCTTTTCAGCCTAAATGTGGATTACCTTCGTCAAAAAGACTTTCGCGCGTTCGACTGTTTATTGTTATAAGCAAAGGATTCGGTTCACTCTCGCAGCGGAGGTATTTGCAGATCGCGCGACTGGCGACACGCGCTGTGCTCCTTTTCATTTTCGCCGCATCGTTATTGTGCTTGTCTGTCATCGGGGGACGCGCATCTTATCATCCTGTGTGGTGTCGGCGCCAAACACGCGTGTCAAAGTTAGCAGTTCTCGTGCCGTGTGCTCCTGCAGCAACCCCGACTCCGGGACAACTGTGATGCAGATCTAATCTACGACGTCGGCGAATGCGAGGAAGTAGCACTGGAGGAGCATCAGATCATCGGTCTTGTCCGAAGGCCACCGGGCGCATTGTTATTTTAGACACCACACACCAACACCTCTCTGTTATGTACGGTAGGCTCGAGTATGTGCTCTCTTTTTCTTTCTTTGTTCGTTGT